GTGGCATGGGGACAGTCGGGGTCCCCGCCAGGCCCTGCCCTGCCACAGCCCCCCCAGCTGGGATGTGGGGAAAGTCCCAGCTCCCCAGTGCAGGACACCCCCGGCACTGCTCGCTCCTGGAGCTCTGTCCCCTGCGGCCCAGACCCACCCCTGCTGTCCCCTCTGTCCCCTCGGTCCCCGCTTCTCTGTCCCTGTGATATTTGGAGGCTGCATGATCCCCCCAATAAAGCACCACCCCTGTGCCCATCCTGCTGTCTCTGGGTGCTGACCCCCACCCTCCAGGGATCAGTAGGGGTGGGTAGAGAGCCTGGCAGGTCCTGGACGCTGCCGTGTCCCCTCTCGGTGACACCTGGTGACAAGAGCCGAGGGCAGCCCCAGCCCCCACATTTCGGGTGCCCGTGGCTGACAGCGTGCCGGGAGCGCCGGAGCAGCTGCAGCTTTGATGTGCCAGAGCTGGCCCCGCTGTGCTGCGGCCCCGAATCCAGGGCATGGAGCAGAGAGAGGCGGCAACGGAGAGGGCCCTGCTGCCCAGCACACAGCCACTGCCACGTGCTGTGTGCCCTGTGCTGTGTGCCGTGCTGTGTGCCATGTGCTGTGTGCCGTGTTCTGTGTGCCCTGTGCCGTGTGCGATGTAACATGTGCTGTGTGCCATGTGCCACATGCCCTGTGCCATGTTCTGTGTGCTGTGCCATGTGCCATGTTCTGTGTGCTGTGCCATGTGCCATGTTCTCTGTGCCATGTGCCATGTTCTGTGTGCTGTGCCATGTGCCGTTGCCCTGTGCCATGTTCTCTGTGCCATGTGCCATGTTCTCTGTGCCATGTGCCATGTTCTGTGTGCTGTGCCATGTGCCATGTTCTGTGTGCCGTGTGCCACATGCCCTGTGCCGTGTGCGATGTAACATGTGCTATGTGCCACATGCCCTATACCATGTTCTGTATGCCACGTGCCATGTGCCCTGTGTCATGTTCTGTGTGCCACATATCCTGTGCCACGTGCCGTGTGCCATGTTCTGTGTGCTGTGTGCCACATGCCCTGTGCCCTGTGCCATGTTCTCTGTGCCATGTGCCATGTTCTCTGTGCCATGTGCCATGTTCTGTGTGCTGTGCCATGTGCCATGTTCTCTGTGCCATGTGCCATGTTCTGTGTGCTGTGCCATGTGCCGTGCATCGTGCTGTGCCATGTGCCGGGCACTGTGCCACACGCTGTGTGCTGATGCTGCCAGCACGGTGCCAGCAGATGCTCCTGGCAAGGTGACATCCCCAGGGGCAGGGTGTGCCAAGGCCAAGGGACTGAGACTGGGGCCTGGCACAGCCTCGTGGGGTAGGGGCCACCTGAGAGCTGCCATGTGGGTGCCACTGAGCGGGGCTCCAGGAATCTGCCGTGTCCCTGGCACAGGCACAGGTGCCAGGCTGTCCCCACCTGGGTGTCACTCACCGGGCTGGCTCTGCTGGCCTTCTGGCACCGCGGGCAGCACAAGGCCCGGGCGGGGCGCAGTACCTGCACCCCCTTCAGCACCTATTTATAGTTCTTGATTCATCTCCCTTCAGGCGGGATCCTGGATGTTGCCGTGGAAACCCAAACCTGGCGCCTGCGAGGCTGCAGCAGGGGCCGCTCCTGGTGCGGGCAGGAGCTGCCCTGGCACCCCAGTCCTGGGGACGGATGGGTGCCCCAGGGTGGGTGCAGAGGGACCCCACGGGGCTGGGAGTGCCCAGAGACACCTCGCTGGGCTGTCCCCACCCGCAGGAGGGGCTGGCAGAGGTGGCAGGGCTGACAAGGCTAGCAGAGGGGGCAGGAGGGGCAGGACACCGGTGCCACTGTCCCACTCTGCCTCCTCAAGGAGAGTGTCACCACCTCCCCCCTCTCAGCCAGCCTTAGCCCTAGCCAGGGGTCCTGCTGGTGCCAGGGCCAAGCCCCCACCCTGCTCACCCTGCAGGGCAGGGTAAGGAAGGCAGTTATTTATTGACTGAGCCTCTGTGTGCTGGGGGGCTCGGGGGGTGCCTGCCTGGGACACCCCAGGGTGCTGGGGGTGTGGAGCAAACACCCCAGCTGGGGAGAGGGGCAGGGGAGCATCCAACCAGGGTAGTCGAGGCAGGGGGCACTGGAAGGGGATCTGCTGGGAGGGAAACTCCAGGGGTGGAGGGCCCTGGGCCCTGCCGAAGGAGCCAGCTCCGTGCCAGGAGCTCTGCTGTCTCTCTGCTGTGACCCCAGGCCATGCTGCCCTCCCCCCGGTCATTGCCCCCAGCCGTTGATAATAAGGTCCCCAGGGTGTGTCTCCACCCCAATGTGTTCCTGATAACAGCAGCTCTTCCAGCTGCTGGCGCTGCTTCCCGCCTCACACCCATAGGAACAGCTGCCTGCCTGGAAACAGCAATAAATATTTATTTCCACAGGGCGGGATGGGCGGAAAGGGGGGGTCACGGCCCTGGCCGGGGGGAGCGAGGCCACGGGGATGGCCACAGTGCATGGCCGGAAAAGCTTCCCGTCCCCAGGGAGATGGGATGGTGCCACGGCCC